AATATTAATTAAAGCAGACATTATATTGTTTAACCAGCAAATTAATTACGAAAATGTTGAAAGAGAAAGAAACACTTCTCGTTTAGATAATGAAGTAAATGAAAAGAACTAATTGCTAAAATCACTTTCTCACATTCCAATTTAGATGATGGCGTTTTGTTCATTCAGGATCATCCATTATTCCTTGATCAAAATCGCTTTTAATAATGTCTTATTACGCCTTTCACTCCGAAGCCAAGTTGCTTGGAAAGAGAAGGAGGAAGATCCGATCCGCACACAAACGCTGACTGTTGATTAGAGCCCATCCCCTCTGGCTATGAAAATCCTTTCGAATTCTAGGTCTCTGTGCAAATCACATTAGTCTCTGAAAGAATTTCACGAAGCGAAGCGGCAAAATTAAATCGAGCGCTCTTGAAAGTCAATAAAGTTGCCGTTTCACTTTAGTTTTCATTAAAGAACGTGTTTTCTAAATACTGTAAAAAAACAAAACAAAAAATTAAACTACAAAAAATAATTTCAAAATAATTTTGATTTATATTAAATGTTTAATTATTTGTTTGTCTTTCGAAGAATATTAGTAAGATCTTTCTGAATTTCATTCAGAATGTCAAAAGGAAAAACAATGTCTAGTTTCGGCTCACAAAATGAGGGAACTACTTACAAAGGCTGATTTGAAGACGACTTTTGACCTTTAAATGAAGTTAATGATGTAAGAGAAAACACAAACAAACAACTAGTAAATGCGACAGTTGTGATTTTGATGTGAACGTGTTCGGGAACGAGTAGAGCTAAAACACCACTGCACACCACATATGAATGCTGAAGGCCGCTCAGTATAAAACGCAGATCATGAAAGAGGGTATTTTAAGTCTTTGGTAGATTTATTTTCTTTTTTGCAAAATTCTTCTAGACATCTCCCTGAACTGCCTTTAGAAATGAGATAGAGGGATGTGATTATTCAGTGAATAGACTACATTTTCTTTCAATATATAACTTTATCATACTATTACATACTACATAATATTACTTATTTAAACGAGTAAAAGGAATGTCTTGAACTGTTTAAAATCGTGCTTGCTGAATATATCAAAGGCAATGTAAGGTAAGAAAACCATTCAGTAGTAATTGTTTAAATCGGGAGTTATCGTGAATCGATGTTTTAGAAATAAATGCTGAGAACGGTGCAAGGTAGTCGAAGTGTGATGATTTGTGTAGCCCTGAGTAGTCCTCGCAACTAAACAAGCGGGCGGATTCTTTCACCAGGTCGGACCGTGAGACGCGGAGGGGCCGGTATCTAGAGCTGACGTATCGGCCGCGGGCGGTCGATTCGCCCTTTCGCCCTCGGCCCGCGCCACCTCCGTCGCGCTTCCGTCGCCCGCGCCCCGCCCCGCCCCCGTCGTCTAATTCCATTAGCGACCTGCGACTCGGCGCGCCCCCGCCCTCGAGATGATAACGAGGAGCGCCCGCCGCGCCGCCGCGCACCGCGCTGGCACGGAACGCTGCTCCGGATTGGGGCCCGCGGGCGGGGTGTGTGCGGAGCGGGCTGGGCGCGGGTGAGCGAGAGTGAACTCTGATGCCTGATGGAATGAGCGGGGTTGAGGAGATGTGAGGAGGGTAAGAGGGCAAGTGGAAATGAGCGGGGGGGTGTAGGGGGCGAGGGGATGATTCGGAGGCCGTAAGTGGGGTGAGCGGGCGTGAGCGGTTTTTTTATTGCTCAGTGATTCTGCCAATGCTATTAGTCCCGTAACTGTAGAACATGTTTTTGCTCGTGAGGTGTCGGTGATCTTCCACGGCTGGATGGTGAGATCCAGCGCCGACCTACCCTCGGCTAGCAAGGCTTTCCCCAACCAGGTGTCTCCCATCAGCCGGGAAAAGCTCTAAGCTCCAGACAGGTATCCAGCCCTGTGTGGTAGTGTATACATGTAAGTGTGTGTGTGTGTGTGTGTGTGTGTTCGTAAGGAGTAAGGATAAGACAGGGCGAGGACAGGAAGAGGTAGGAAAGATCGCGGGCGGTCCGTGTCCCGTTTGTGAGGGTACTACCCCGGCGTACGCCTGGTGTGATCGGAGAAACCACGGAAAACTATCGATCAGATAATCCGGCCGCTAGAATTCTCCTTCAGGCAGCGACTGAATTCGACCTAGCTATCTAGCTAGTCCTGCCAGGAGTCGAACCTACGACCATCCGGTCAGCTGTCTGCAGTGATATGAGTTGATGAGCTGAGCCACCTCTCCCGGTGCAGGGGTGAACGGGGGCGAGCAGAGAGAGCGAGGGGAAGCGGGGAGAGAGAGAATGAACAGCGAAGGTAAGAGGTAAAGCCGAGAGGTGCTGGCGCTGAGAAGGCGAAGCGGGGAAGCAGCGGAATGGTGTGAAGAAGCGGGCGGGGCGCCGACGAGGCAGAGGGTAGGCAGGAAAGAGGCGAGGCAGAGACTGGATGAGAACGATAACGAGACAAGAGCGGTGAGCTTTGGGAAGAGGCGAAGAAGAGAACTTTAGAGACATGGGTGGTAGAACCCGTTTACAATACACGCGAGCTATGCTTCGATAACGGAGATTGATGGATTGAATCGCCCACGCTTTGCTGTTACTCGGATGAGAGTTGATAGCTCTTGCTTCTGATCGCGATGGTACCAATTATCATCATATTTCGTCAAGGGAAAGGATTCGCAGATGTTAGCTGAGAGAATACTCGTGGGTTGAGCTGATTTAATTACTAACGACGATGAGCTGAAATGTATTGAGCTGCAGCACTGTGATGAAATTGAAGATGAAATCTGAAAAGATCGTTTTGTAAGGTATCTCATTTTTAGTTTTGTAAAACTTTTTACCACCAAAATATCACTATTATTAAACGGGAAATGAGATTACATTTTACTCGTACAGAAGTATTTGAGAACCGTTTATACTTTTGCTCGGTTTCTGCGAAATACTACAATTCATATATAACGTGTGTAACGAATAGAATAGTGTAATGTTTATCGTAAATACTAAATTACAATACTAGAAGGGGAATATATTTCTTAATGTTTCCCAACAATTATTGGGTTGAATTACGTAAAGAGAAAAAGTACTTGGGCAAAGGCATAATAATTGTTAGTGGAATAATTGTCAGTCCTGATAATATAAAAGATAATTGCCTTTGACAAGTTAGGTGGTTTCAGATTTTACTTCTGTACCAATGACAAGGACATGAAATGCGGAAATATCTAATACGTCGAAGTATTGTAATTTAAAATTAAATTAATAGGTAAGATTATGTTTTCAAAAAGTACTTCGGGTCATTCATTGCTATTGAAATATTTAAATTGATCATTTAATCATCAATGACATTCAATACTTCTCAGTAATCTCTGATGTGGACTAAGGAGCCAAATCGGTGCGGTGGATGGGGAGATGTTACGGTGGCAGACCCGGAAGTAACAAGCCTGACCCGGGGAGGTCACGTTGTTAGGCCCCGAAGGGTGCAGTCATGAAACAGATATATTGACGCTTAGTGTTTCCATGACATAACTTCCGTTATGCTTTCATTAGTTGACTGAAGTATTGAAGTGATAATAAGGTCACAGTTCGGAAGCACATTATTATCCTTCTCTGTTATTCGTAATCTCAAATAAACAAAACACGCATTAAATTAGTAAACCGAACATTTAGCGGAGAAGCGATATAGAGAAAACTAGATTAAGGAAATTAATAAATATCTGTAGTTTCTATGAGTGTTTAACTGCATGGGAGAAACAGAAACACGTGTGACGTAATATCGGTGCTTTGGGTTTACACTCGTCTCCTCCCACCCGACCTCTCATACCAAGGCGAGGCGTACGACGCGGGGCTGTTGCGCAGCTGTTGGCGGCGCGCTGCTTGGGCAAAGGGAGTGGGGAAAGGGGGGGGCAGTGTCCCTCGACTGCGCCGCAAACTTCCGGTTGGAGCCCGAGGACGAGTTCCTGGAAAATTCTATCGGCCGGACATCCCCCAAATGAAATTAACAGAGGAAGGCAGCCACCGCGTGACCTTTCACCTTCTCAAGAATGCGCCCGGAGGCGCTGCCTCCGCCGGCGAGGAAAGACAGGGGATGGAAGAGACACGGGGTGGGAATGGGCGGGGAAGGGAAGAGTGAAACGAGAAAACGGGGCGGGGCGCAGCCCATCGCGCAGCTCGCGCTCAGCCGCCTGAATTATGGATCTGCGCGGGCGGGAGGGGCGAGGAGGTGAGGGGATTGGGGGGGAGAGGCGTCCGCGGCCGCGCCCGGGCTCCCGGCCCATGAATAGTAGGCGGCCGGCGGTCGGGAGCAGCCTCAGCGGGGAGCCGTGCGGCGGCCCGGAGCCAGGCAGCTGCAGACGCGGAGTACCCCACGTACGCGGTGCCGCCGCGACATGCTCACTAACCCGACCCCGCCTACGCGCCCCCTGCTCCTCACACACACGCCCCCTCCTTCCCCCTAAGGCGCCTGCTCCGTGTACATGCCTATCCTGTCTAGCTCGCGTCCGTACGCGCCCAAACGCTCCCTGCTTCGACCATACCTCCTCTGCCCAGACCACACAATCCACGCTGCTCACATGCCCCGCTCCGCCCTAACCTCCCGTTCCACCTACTCCGCTTGGCTTCACACACCCTTGCCTCCCCGCCCCGCCCTGTCCTGCCTGGCTCTGACTCGCTACACCCCATATCGCCCGCGTCGATTTGAACCTGAGGCCACGTAAATCACCAAGAGGGCGGAAGGATAGAGAATAACGGAGGGCTAGACAGCTCCATGAGTAGTCATAAAGCATTATTTGACCGGTGTTCAGAATACTCGTACGATTGTCACAATACTTTTTAATTTTACTTACTTTTGATCGAACGTTTATTATCATGGAGGGCGTTTAAACGCCCTTTGATTAACTGACGACTGCGCCGCCACATGAGTAGACATGTGGGAGTGATTACGATTAATGTATGATCTGAGTTGAGAATTTGGCTCAGGCAATGATTATTGTACCCATGGACCATTTTTTCGCCGAATGTTTTATTGTATTACTTTCGTAGAGCTTCTGGATAACGAATAATAATTATTATAATCGAAGACTGCGTCGCTCCAGAGTAGATACGAAACAGATTGAAATACTAAGTCATCACTCACTTTTCGGCCATGTTTCGTACAACTGAAGAAACTTGGAAGAACAAAGAATGCAGAACTAAGACTATATTCGAGAACGAGTGTAGATCTGTCAGTGTAAACGTTTCATCCAATGAGGATATAATGAAAACTTATCGGTTTTGAGTAACCTTACTCATAACCTGCCAATTGCTCATTGAAAAGTAAAAAAAATGCAGGAAACATTAAACTCTAATTTAGTGTAGTAGACCTTGTAGACAAAATAGAACAAATCTTTCTGACAGTCAATTCTGTTTGATTCAATAAAAAATGTACCCGCATATTTTTTATAACCATCATTTATTGTTTGCAATTATTACGACTTTACATAACTAGATTAATTAATCAAAATGAAAAAAAATAATTGCGAAGATTAAACATTGTAATCACTTTAAGAATAAAAATTGCGCAGGTTTTATATTCCTCGAATAGTCTGGATTATTCCACATTGCACAATGTTTCCATGTTTTTGACGACTTCCTACAACCATAATATTGAATATAGATATACTTTTTTCTTTATGAAATCTCTTTTTCAAAACTATATTTTTAAATAAATATATTTTTTCAAAATATGAGTAGTTTTAGTATAATTTATCATGAAACAAAGGCAATAAGAAAAAGAAACCTTTCCTAAAAAACGGCTTTTCCTAAAAAAAATGTTTCTTTAAACTTTTTATGAGTTTAAAATGAATTTACTGAACAATTGTTGCGTATGATACGAGTAGTTATAGCGACATTTTATTTTGCGATAAGAAGTTGTTGCGACACGAGACCTACAACCAAAACCAAATTACTTTTACTATGTGTATTAAACCCACATTTTAGTCAGCCTTACTGTCATTTTATTTTTATTAAAATCTGCAAGTCCTTTAAAGATACATTAATGTCAGTAGCAGCTGATGCGCACGCCGGAAAGTATTTTGTTTTCTTTGTTCATTCTAAACACTTGACCATCGTCTCACGTTTAGAACTAGAGTTACAAACTGAACTTTTAGGGCAGTAGACGTGCCCTAAAGGAACAGCTTTTTCTAGTGGTTGCCTAAAAAAACTTAATTTTTATATAGCATTTCAATGATTTACAAATTAATCACATGTATGTTCGTGATATATTATAATATTATGCAGTAAAAAAATAATGCAAGAAAGTACGTGCTGCTGTACCAGCTGGAGTTAAAATAACGTTGTGGAGGTGACATGGTAGATGCAATTTAGGAGGTTCAGCTTTTTGGGTAATTTATTGCAGTTTCTTTGATATCTAGGAATGAGGCAGCAAGAAATAAGTTTGTTTTTTATGACAATAATCCCGTAATATGGAAAGTCAATAGGCTATTTAATTTGTTTTTTTTAGGTATATATGAGTCCGTGTGTCAATGTAACATCACTCATTCGATATCAGTGGCATAGACGAGCAAAGACTCCTATAAACAATACTGTGAGAACGCCCGCTTGTTCATCTGTTTGCCCCATTTCCTCACCTCCTCGCCCTTCCCTCCTCACCCGCTCCCTCCCGTGGCCGCGTCTCATTAAGGCACTAATTATACAGGACTGCCAACTGCACAGCGGTCGCGGAGGCTCTGTCTGCAGCACGTGGGGCACGCGGTCTGGGAGATAACAGCTCGGAACTTCTTTAAAGGCTTCTGTTTACGTGAGCAAGAAGGACAAAGTGCCGTTTCGGAAGGAGAGCGGCAGAGGTGGGAGTGGACGGACTGGGGATGGCGGGGGGGGGGGCGAGAGCTATGACAGAGAAGCAGCTGTGCAGGCTGAGGGGCGGGGAGAAAACAGTACAATGAAGCATGAATGTTCGGGGCGTACAAGATCGGGACGTGGAGGATCCAGGCGTGGAGGATCACGGCGAGGAGGATCGGAACGAGGACTGCCGGATTGTGGATGACCTGACAGAACAAGAAGGATCAGGGTGAAGAATATTCAAACGTGAGGCATCGGGGCATTGAGAATACAGGCGTGGAGGATCGGAGCGTGGAGGGTCGAGGCGCAGAGGATCAGGACGAGTGAGATCAGGACGTGGAGGATCGGATTGTGGGTGATCGGTAAATGGCGGAACAAGACGTGGAGGATCGGGGTGTAAAGGATCGGGATGTAGAGGATCGGGGTGTAGAGGATCGGGGTGTAGAGGATCGGGATGTAGAGGATCGAGGTGTAGAGGATCGAGGTGTAGAGGATCGGGATGTAGAGGATCGAGGTGTAGAGGATCGGGGTGTAGAGGATCGGGGTGTAGAAGATCGGAGTGTAGAGGATTGGGGTGTAGAGGGTCGGGACGGGGAGAATCGGGACGTGGAGGAGCAGGACGTGAAGGATCGGGATGTGGAAGATTGGATCGTGAAGGATCGAGGCGTGGCGGAGAGAAACTGAATTCTCGCCGCGGCGCGAGACGGGAAGGATCTAGGAGAAACACGGCGGAGTGGGATGAGAAGGGTAGGAGCAGGGTGGAACGGTGAGTCATGTGGGGGCGGAATGTTGGGTGGAGGTGCGGATGGGAGGAGCAAAGCGAGGCGGGGACAAGGCGGAACGAGACGAGAGGGACGGAGGGGCTGAGGGTTGAGGCAACGGCGCGCCTTGCGGCGGAGAAATTAAATTTTGCGCGGTGGGTGAGGAGGAGAGGCTGAGCGGGGTGGGGCAGGGCAGGGCGGGGCGGGATGGGGTTTCCTTATTAAAACCGCCACCGCCGCCGCCGCCGCCTCGGTAGGGGCGGACTCGGATGGAAGCTAAACACCGCCCCATCCCCTGCCGACGCACACAACAGGTGCCTGCGTTCCCTTCGCCGCCCGCGACGCGCGCCGCCGTCTCCCGTCGCCATCTTCCCGCCGCAGCTTCGCCCGACACCAATTCTCCGCGTTTATTTGCTTTGGACACACATTTTGATGACGCGACTTGTTTCGCAAAAAAGTTGCGTCTGCTTTCCGGTGTTGTGACAGAGGGAGTGAGAGGGGTTTTGTGGGGTGGAAAAAGCGTACTTGACGCCGTTGGAGATGCAGGCGATATTTTCGGGCCGTCTGCGTAATGAAGTGAGAAGGGATTTACGGTCTCAGAGTTTCACAATATGTCCGACTCGGCTTACGTAGAAGGCAGAGCAAGCTTCCCGAATTTGAAAGGCATAATCCCCCGGGAAGGAAGTTCTTTGTTCTACAGAGATAACACTCTCCCCAAATTCAAATTCCCATGCAAAGACAGCAATCAAAAAGATCATTCCCCTGCAGTTATTTGTACCTAAATGATTTCGTGCCATTAGTATACTTACCTTCCCAAAATGCTCGGGGGGCAATATTTTTACAGAGGAATGTAATTAGAACATCAACAACCTTATAACTGAAATGACATGCTCTTGGTTCGACGTTAAAAATTCGTTATATAGCAAGTAATAGTCCAATTTCTGTTGCGTTTTGTAACTTAATGTAAATTTACAAGTATTAACCATTTATACTTTAGATATGTATAGTTTGAACCGAATGAATTCGTTTTCAAATAAAGGAACATAAAAGCAATAGTCTTCACTATGAGCAGGTTTTTCCCTACTTCCACGAGCCGGGGCTGTGGGTTACGATTTCGTTAGAAATACTAATAACTCAAATCAGTAGTTCGTTTACCGATGCAAATAAGTTGTCTATAACTCGGGAGAGAAAATTTCAATTTTCAAATGTTATTAACTTCCCTTTTTCAGTAAAAATTCAGAATTCATATATTTATGATCAAATATGGGAAAGAAATTCAAGGACGTAAGAAAATGGCTGGTTCTTCGATTGTACTTTGCCCCCATGTGTCACATAGAGGTTTTAATGTTCATTGACAAAATAAATCAAATCAAATCCAATAGACAATGCCGTTTTCGAATTAATAAAAATTAATGAATTTCGGGCTAAATACCGTAGCTTCTTTTCTAACAATGTATACAGTGAAGTCAAACTTTTGAATATTTTCAAAAAAATATTTTTAACGTAAAGGAAATTTTTATAACTTGATTTCAATAAAACTGAATTCATTACTTTAGCTTGGTAGTATTTTGCAACTTTATGATTATGATTATTATTGATGTTAATGATTATTATATATTATATTATATTATATTATATTATATTATATTATATTATATTATATTATATTATATTATATATTATATTATATTATATTATGTTATGTTATATTTTATTATGTTATATTATATTATGTAATTGTTGTTATAGCTCATTTGTTCTGCGGGCAATAGTGAGAAAATTCAAGGACAGCTGCAGAGTATGCATCAGATCAGATGCTGGGAGTTGATGATGTTATTAGCATATACACTTGCAGTTTTTACATATTCTTTGTCTCATCATAGTTCTTTACCTATTTCAGTTTGTTAGAGGTATCCTAATAAATTTCTTTATCTTATCACCGACTACAAAATACTAACCATATGCACATATCCAATTACCTATTTTTGACAGATTCTTCTGTCTTGATAAATGTATTGAAAATAACCGACATAACACAACATTTATCTCTCATAAAAATGTTTGTATTAATCTTTTTTTCCTTTTCTCCATCATCAAAATCTTCTTTCTAAATATTACAGTACGGAAATAGAGAATAAAACACCTTATTAAAAAAATCCCTAATGCGCTGAATGTGTCAACTATATTTTTGTTTAGAGCTTTTTCGAGCATCAACCTCATGGATGTATAATATTTGTGTACCAAATGGATGTATAATGTATATACTAGACACCAACACAGTTGCAAATACGAATACTTCGGATGCATATTCAGCAGAACTGGATATGGGATGGATGGACATCATTGCCCACAGTGTGTGTCGGACTCAATGAACCGAACTGGTGTATCCATAAGCATTCTTACTATTTCGGTCATGCAAGCCGGCCTTTGCTGCGTTTAATTTCATAAATATTAATGTTTTCCGGAAAGAATAAAAGGTAACTTTTTCATAAGCCACTGACAGCAGCATTGAAATAGATCATACATTTCGGACATCTTCCAAAAATTTACATTATCATAAAAAATTCAAAGAATAAAATATTCATATTCATCCCTTTACTAATATATTCTAGAAGCGTATTGCATAAAAAGTGACGTTTGTATCTCGTACACACGGCGTTTGTATCTCGCAACTTAAGAAAACAGTTCTTCAGTCCGAGATCACTGAGCGTGGAAATATCTAAGAGATTTCAAAGAGTTAGGTCGTAGCCGGCCAAGTTCCAAGTTCGACAGCTCTCCCGTTGTGTGTGGTAGAGTAGTGCATATAAGTCTGAATGTGTGAGTAAGGAGAAAGGTAGAAAAATGCAAAGAAGAAAAGATGGCGCGCGGTCCGTGGCCCGCCTGTTAAGGTCCACCTCCGGCGTTCGCCTGGTGTTGATTACATAAAGCACACAAAAAACTCCCGACGAGGGCAGTCGGTCGCTAGAATCCTCTTCCAGAATTGAGTTCGGCCTAGCAGTGCAGCTAATATAAAAAATCCTAAGAATCCCAAGACCTCCCGGCTAGAGGCGATGCAGCGTCAACAGCGCGGCGCTGCCCGAGGCGCGGGCGTGTACTCACAGGTGGCGGCCAGCAGCTGCGGGAGGTACTTCTTCCAGAAGGCGCACTGCTTGAGGCGCGGCCCGCGGCCTGTCTCCGACGTGTTGACGTCGAGCGTGAGGTACTCGCGCCCGTAGGCCGTGTGCACGGGCCAGTAGGTGGGGGTCCACGTGCCGTCCGCTGACAGGCTCGGGTTCCTGCACACACCGCCAGCAGCGTTGCAGAGCAAATGTTACTCAACCCTCTCTAACAAGATCACGAATTAGTGCTTCTGCATAAGGTACCAAAAACAAAATTAATTTGTAAAGTAAATTTCATTTCTAATATTAAAATTATACTAAATTATTATTATTTTTGTACATTACTCATAATTAACTCATTAATTTCAGAATAGCAAAAATTACAATTAAGAGCTCGACATAGGGAGGAGATACTTAATATCAATTAGTGAGATGGGATTGCATGCCAAGTGCCAAGAGAGTATAAACTAGCAATTTATAAAAACCGATAAAAACTACTGCTCGTAACAAAACTCTTTATGATAAGTAAGAACAGATTGAGAAACGAAATATGCTACATCGAAAACATTACTGACTATTTTGGCGCTACACTTTAATATGGATTACAACTGTTTCGTTTTTATCACAATTCATTAGGCGTCTAAAATAATGTTTTTAAAAGTTGAAAGAAAAAAGCATTATTGATAAAACGTCGTAATATGGCATGAAACTGTTTTATATACTGGTTTACCAGCTTGTCCATCAAAGAATGACAACCTCACTATCGGAGGTTTTGATCCGTTTTTAAATTCAAATCCGCTGTGACACCTATCTGCTAAAACAATTCGCGTGGATTCACAGGGTGGCACGAAACACGCGAAGGGCGCGCCCGAGGCGTGAAGCCAGAGCTCGCCACCGCTAAGGCGCCGGAGCCGCTGCCGAGGCCGCGAGAACTCGTCTCCTAATTAGGGGCGCCAACGAAGAGCAGGGCGGGGCGGCGGCGCAGGCTCGAGGGGGAGGGCGAGGAGGCGCGAAAAATGAGGAGCGC